AAAAGAAACATTTGGCTTTCTATAGAGAACCTCTGAGACCTCATGTGACTGAAAATGGAAGAGCGGGGGTGGGGGGGGGGCTCTCCTCACGCCCCACCCCAAAACCCCCATGGGGAAGCTGAGGTTGGGCCCCTGTAGATCCATTTATTTTAGGAGGCACTTGCTTCTGAAGCATTTGTTTCAGAAATTACCCCTGTGCCCCATCAATAGCAGCTTTCAACGGCTCTTCCCGGGTGGCCTTGTCTCTTTTAAATTTCATTTCCTGTTGGAAAGGATAAACAGGTAACTGTTTAATGCCCCTGACTGGACTCATTTAACAGAAAACCAGGATCAGCGTGAAGCTGGGGAACCAGAGTGGGATTGATGGGTGAAACAGAGCTGGGAAGCCAATCTGAGATTACGAGTGGAATAGAGCAGGTCGATGAACAGAAAGGCATTAGAGAATACCCAGTGACAGACTTTTATTTTACTTCTTTTCCAGGTAAGGGCAATTGTCCCACTGGAGGAGGGGATATGAATGCAAGGAAGAGAGCATAATCAGCTGCCATGTTGGGCGTGGATCCCTGGACTTGGCCCGGAGGTCTTGGTGGGAATCGTGGCACTACCACCCATCAGTCAAGTCCTTTAACCCCCTTGAGCCTCAGATGCCTGTCTGTTCTACTGCACAGGATGGTGGGAATTCAAATGATGCCTTCACATGCTTGGCAAGTGCCTCACCCCTAGTAGGAATTCACACATAATAGCTATAAATTGGTACAGATGGTGTTGGAACCCATACCATTTATCACATGTTTTCCACTACACACCAGGCACTGTGTTGGGCAATAAGAGCTGCCAAAGGATAAGAGAGCCCTGATTTTAAAAGAGATGGGCACAGAATTGATGATATCAATACAGCCTGGTAAGGATTTGCAACAAAACAGATATGGGGTGATATGGCACACTCACATTAAATGTTTTGAGGTATTGTTGATAGCATGATCAATGGGGTCAATGAAAGGATTCATAATTGTCTATTTCTCCCTCTAGAAGGCAAAGCCCACCAAAGCTGGAATGTTGTCTGTCTTAGTGTCTGTCTAAGCACTGTGGGGAAAAGCATGTGAGGGAATGGTTAAGGTGATGCTCTAATCTCTGAACTACCATATTATCTTGAATCTATCTCCCAGTTCACCATTTCTCTCTACAGCTGAGTGCATCCACTGTTTAACCCAGTTGACAAATTTTTAATTTCTACAACTCTATTTTTAAATTACAGAATTTCTATTTAGTTCATGTAAAATTTCTACCTTTCAGTCATCTTATTCTGTACTTGCCCTATGGTTTCTATTTCCTCTTTTACCAGAAAACATGTTAAACATACTTACTCTCTCAAATTGATCTATTGCCTATAGCTTCTAAGATAGGAACTTCTCCATGTCTTTTGTCTGACTCTCACTAATGGTGGCTTTTTCCCTCTCTTCTACACACTGTAATATTTAAAAGTACACTTAACATCAGGAGTTTTGTTGTTTTGTGGTTTTGAGTTTTTAAATTTTGTTATTTGTGGGAAACCCATGCAACATAAAAATGTTGAGACATTTTTATGACTTGGCTTTAGGCTGCCCCTCTCAGGATCACATAGTTTAATCAATTCCAGACCCAGTTTTTACATTATCTTCTTGGTTTGTGGCTTGTGCACTCTAAGAGAAGTGCCCCAACCCCATACCCATGTAGAGCATAGGCTGGGGTTTTAATTTGTTTGAGGGCGATCCCAGCGGCCCAGCATAGTTGACACACTTCCCTACTCAATCCTCAGCAGAAATTTCCTTATTTCATGCTCAGGTCCTTCATTCTTCATTGACAGCCTTGGTAAGGAGTTTGTTTCCTATTGCCTCAGCTCTCATCCCCATAGGATTCTGAAACTCCAACCCCCTAAGAATCATGCATATTTCCCATGTTTTCACAGGACCTTTTGTTTCATTCCTTCCCACTGATCACTGCTTGTTCTTCATTTCAGGCACCTGGGGATTTCTCCTTTCTGCACACCAGCCTGGTGTTGGATTTTTTCCCCCTTGTATATTTACACTAACATCTCTCTGTGATTGGAAAGAATGTCCCTTGACGACTCTATCTGACCAGAAAGATTTTATTATATCTTTAGAGACTAGTCTTTCTCTCTCAGTTCTGAGTTCATGAAGGACAGAAACCCTGGTCTGATTCATCTTTTGATCCTGATTCTTCAGACTATGCCCAGATCAGAGTAGGAAGCAATAAAGTGAAGCAATAAAATGATGATTTGTTCATCATTCAATGAACAAATGAATCAATCAGCTTTCACTTACACTCTCAATGGGAAGTAGAGATCATATACTAAATATCTTCTAGAGAAAGAAGACATCAAGAATCCCTGGAAAGTCATCCATGCTCTCTGGGAGGCCACGCTAACCAATCAAAGGAGTTCGGCCACTGCCTTAGTGTCACTCTTTGACCAGTAGGTTCTCTACTCTTGAGGGTACTTCTTTCTTGAAGGGCAACAGCTGATAATTATAGTGCTAGTCTGCTAGAAATTCACAGCCTGGCAGGCTAGGTTCTTACTGGTAGCTTTGTTGCTTTTTTGGCACATACTGATGTCTTTCTGGGGCTTCCCAGGTGGCTCAGTGGTAAAGAACCCACCTGCCAATGCAGAAGATGCAAGAGATGTGGGTTCGATTCCTGAGTCAGGAAGATCCTCTGGAGCAGGAAATGGCAACCCACTCCAGTATTCTTACCTGGAAAATTTCATGGACAAGGAGCCTGGCAGGCTACAGTCCGTGGGGTCACAAAGAGTCAGACACGACTGAGCACACACACATATGTCCTTCTAGAGCCATAACTGGAACTTGATCAGCAACATGCAATGTGCAAAGATATACTCTTTTCTGTTAGTTCCATTAAGAGTTTGCCAAGGAAATTCACATACTTGACAGCCCCGGGCACAGTGCTTGGCACAGAGTAGGCACATTTAGTGCACTTTATTTCTTTCTTTCCATTAAAAATACCCACAAATATTTGTTGAAAATCTATTGCTTCCTAAGCACTGTGCTTGGTGCTGACGATGGAGAGGTATAACATATTTTATGCCTCTGTTTTAATTCTTACTTAGAAAAAGAATGTCCAGGGACCTCCTTGGTGATCCTATGGTTAAGAATCTACCTTGCAATGCAGGGGATGTGGGTTTGATCCCTGGTCAGGGAACTAAAATCCCACATGCCATGAAGCAACTAAGCCCATTCGTCACAACTAAGGAACCAGTGTGTCGTAACCAAGACCTGACACAGCCAAATAAATATTTTTTAAAAAGAAAAAGAATGTCCACATCAAATATGACAATAAAAATTACCCCACATGTCCTCTGATCTAAGGTGAAAAGACATCTCACCTCATTCCGCCACTCTAAAATGCCTAAAAAGTATAACCAGCAAACTAAATTTGCCTATTATTGTTTGATAAAGTAACAGTCTCTTTCCTTAGGGAGGAAATCCAACTCCCATTGAATACATGAGCAGACAAATAAAAAGCAATTTTTGACAGTGACTTTTGAGCTCCTTTCATCACTATAATTCCAGAACCTAGAATCATGCCTGAATTAAATGAGAAACTTGATAAGACTGTTGAATGTGAGTATTCTTGCACATATATATGGGTATAGCCCATCCATATATATGACTCTAGATACAGTAAGACTCACTCATCATTCCATACATATATATTGAGAATTTCTTATGAATGAGAGTATGTACTAGATTTTTTGATAGAGACAGGAGAAAGAAAGAAAAAAAAGAACAAAATAGATATCCTACCTACAAGGAATTTCCAGGTTTAAGGGCAAGATAGGCAATTATGTAAATCACCATGATATAACATAGAAAATGCTGAGAGATGAACATAAGAAAAGACTATGGGGTTCCAAATACAGAAAGGCTACTTCCTGCTGAGGGATTAGATAAGACTATGGCTAATATAGACTATATGCTCAAACTTAAGTAATGTGTTACCTGGTGGCTCAGACGGTAAAGAATCCGTCTGCAATGTGGGAGACCTGGGTTCGATCCCTGGGTTGGGAAGATCCCTGGAGGAGGGCATGGTGATCCTATCCGGTATTCTTGCCCGGAGAATCCCTAGGGACAGAGGAGCCTGGTGGACTACAGTCCATGGGATCACAAAGAATTGGACATGACTGAGCGATTAAGCCCGGTAGAGGGACAGAGTGGGGACTGGCAAGGAAGGAAGGGCAACTCAGATGGAAAGAACAGCTTAGACAAAAGGCAGAAGCAGAAATGCACAGGGTATAGACAATGAAACAGAAAGTTGCCTGGAGACACATAAAAGAGCAATCTAAAGAGAAATAAACTGGAAAGGTAGGATGAGCCAATTGCAGGGGGTTTGAACGTGGCCTGATTTATCTTCCAGGACACAGGATCTCTATAGAGTAGCCAGAGTTTAGCATATGGTGGGGCTTAATTAATGCTACAACAGCCACATAGCAGGAGCCTGTTCGCCAGCTGCACACAGGAAGTGGCCATCTGTACATGCAGGCAATTACAAACCTTCCAGATACTCTGCCCTGAACCCTGCAAGCACATCAAATACTCACCATAAAAGGTCACCCAACAAACATCTCTGATCAATCCTGGCTCAGGCAGAATCAAATCCTCTAAATAAGATCCACTGGATGCAGTGTCAGGAAGGTCAGAAACTACCCTTTTTCACATCTTGAAGCATTTTTACCATGTGGAACTCTTTAGAAGAAGAAGGGAAAGGAAAGAGAGAGGAAAAAAAAAAAAAAACACCTCTCCAGAAATAATAGAATTCCAAGTAATTAAATGTTAACTGATCACAAAGTTAACAGGGGATTTATTTTGGCCCCTGCTCCTTCTGGTGATCTAAAAAGCAGTTGATTTCAAGGACAGCCACGCCAGGATTAAACCCGGCGTTTCACGCCTCCCTCCTCCACTTCCGCCCTGCGTGTCCCCACTGTGTACCTTTGTCGAGCTCACTTGAAATGTTCCATGATGAGGTAGGCACTAACTCAGCAGTGACTGACAACTCTGTTTCTGAAAAGAAAGAGAAGGGAGGGGAGAAAGACAAGGGCAATATTAAATATAGTAACTTATGGGCTGTTAGAAGCATTACAGGAGATTTCCAATGGCCCTGCCTTCCGAGAGAGACTACGCAGTCCCATAGCTTATTAAACTTAAATGTCTGCTTTGCCTGCCAGGCAGAGGCGCCTGTATTATACAGGCTATCCAGACAAACAAACTGGAGGCTAGATTTAAAGATTTTTTTCCTTTAAAACACAGGCTTGAAAATTAAATACCAATATTTCATTGACAAAAAACCAAACCTGCAGAAATGACCAAACATGATCAAATACAAATTCTTCCTTTTCTTGATGAAAGACCAGTCTTAGGTTAAAAGAGTCAACAGTCTTTCCATGAAACATGAGATCAACATTGCTCCTGCTGCCGGTTTCATTTGTGTTTGTGAATTCATAGCATTTCTCTTAATAGACAAATTGATTTCTCTATATTGAAACCTTCAGTCAAGACAAGTGGAAGCTAAGTATTTGAATATGGAGAGTTAATTTGTGGTAATCAAAATTCAAAGATAACTTTAAAAACCACCATAAAGTAAATATGCAAATCCAAAATATTAAGGACATGATACACTATGAAAATTTTAAAACTCTTTATGATATACTGTAATATACAAACAATGCTTTTATTTTTGAATATTTAACCCATGACACATCCTACTAGCACATTTTAATAGGATTGCATTAATCTCCCCTTAGGCCATGTACAGACACACACACACACTTATATTACAGAACTTTTGTGCTAGGCAGGATCTCAGAAAGCCCAGAGACTGGGTCATTAGATCCAAGGCACCCATGGTATCACATCCCCTTTCTTCAGATATCATTGATCAATTATGGATCCTTTTGCCTATAAACCTGGGATCTGCCTTACAGCCTTTCAACATGGTATTTTAGGTAGCCACTGAAAATGGATCTGTGTTAGAATGCAAGGCAGAGGAAGAACTAGTATTTAAACCTAGGTCTGTCTGACTCTACCATCCACACGCCTCCTGGCAGCCCATGCTGCCCAGTTCTCAAGTCTGAAAGTTGACTTGTTTTTCCCCTTACCTCTCTCTGGCTTCACCTTTTCGCGAGATAAGCTCTTCTACACTTCTTCTACATTTCCTTATTTACTGATGGAGGCCGTCTGCCACATGGCCATAGAAGCCACATGCCGTCATCAGTGAGCTTTGCCAAGGACAGGATGTTTACCCACTGAGACCTTGCCGAGGCCACTTCCAGCTTGCCTACTGAGTCTCTAATCAGCCTGCCGTGCACAGCAGACAAAGGGGTTGTTTGGTTTGTGCAGACCTTCTTGACTTTCTTCCTCCCCCATCCAGGTGGGAAAGAAAACAGGTGGGAAAGAAAGTAGAAAAGCCCCACAAAACCTACCCACCCCAAAAGGCCCCAGTCACCTCCCACATCCTGAGCCAACAACAGCATGCATTCTTTTCAGGGGAACCGAAGTCAGATGGGCAGTATGGCTGGGATCTTACAGCAAACAGAATTCCAAAATATGAAGCCAAAAAGGAAAATTTGCCCAAGTAAGAAAACTGCTTAACAGAAAACCAAAGGAGAAAGCAGTGCTCCTGTTATCAACCATCTGTCCTCGAAATGGGTGTTTCATGCAGGTGATTTTACCAGGAAGTGCTAATTGTCTACATTCTAGAGCCCTCCACGTGTGACTCCAACCACAACTCCACTCTGACCCCCTGCTGCCGCCACCCACTTTGGCTCTTTGGATAAAGGCCCCTTGTTTGCAGTATTTTGGACTACTGTGGTTCCTCTTATAAAAAGGCTCATCAAGCACTCCAGTACCCAGACTTCGGGGAGCTTGGGAATAGAAGCATGGCAGCCACAGCGGCCACTCAGGCAAGAAGCAAAGGGTGGGGAAGTGGTGGGATTAAAACAGATCTTGACAGCATTTACATTCAATATTTTCATAGCTTCATCTTACTGCTGCTCACAGCTAAATTGCCAGAAACATAGGTTTCATTTTACAGTATTAATTTTATAGAAAGTTAGCTATATGTCATTTGGTTTTTCCAGCCTGAATTTGAATTGCTGATTGAATATAATTTGAGACTGATGACAAATGAATAGATTCTTGGCACTGCTAAGAGTAAAATTGTTCCCCCACGTCTCCCTGGACACTAATTACCACTCAGTTCTTGGGCTACAGCAAAGATAATTTCAATTCATAACCTCATTAGTTGATTGTGATGATTCTGAGGAATTTTGTTCTCAGCTTCAAGATCTATTCCTTGAGATAACTACATGTTCAGCTCTTCAGATAAAATGATAATAAAAACAGATAAAAGTTTTAAATATGAATATCCTCCCTGACAAATATTATCTTCTTAGGCTACTTTTTTTTTTTTAAGTAAGGCTGGATTATTTAACGTGAAAAGTTTAATGTTAGTAATTGTCCCTCACAAAAAGGATGTTTAATAAGCTTCCCCCTCACCTCCAGAAAAGAAGACTGAATCTTAAGTGAGAAAAATTGAGCACATCTTGATTTAAGCAGCCGCGATTCCAAGGTCAGCAGCAGCCTTAGAGAGACGTGACCACCAGTCTTGACTCTATGGGACCTCCAGTGATGGATTCAGTTCCTCTCTTACTCTCTTTACTGTGGCAAAAGGATGAGATATTTAATACCAGACTAGCAGCCTCTCTTTGTGTAACATCATTGTGATAATAGCAAATTCATACATGCCATCTAGGAGACAGTAGAATTTTTAATGAAAATACACACCTACATTAAAATACTAATTTCTGCCACTTCCTAATGTTGTAATCAAGACCAAGTTACTTAACGTCTTTTGACCACTATTTTCTCATCTGGAAAATGGGGACAATACAAGCCATCTCATAGGAATGTGGTAAGGACTAGAGCAGATTCTCAACCAAAAGGGTCCTACACCCAAGACGGTGCCCAACACAGAGTAGATACTCAAGATCTTCCATTCCTCTCCCTCTGTCTAGAAAGGCAGATAGACATACTCTGCGTGGATATACTCCAGTTTAGTGGCTGTGTCACTGTCTCAGTTTGAAATAACACATTTGCTGTACTTTAAGAAAGACTATTTTGCATGCCTTACTAATCCAAGATGATCTTTTCATTTTGTGAGGTTTTCCTGAATCAGTCACCAGTTCTCTTAGAACATCAGTGTTTTTATGTGGTTTTATCCAATTTAGGCAAATCCAGCATGTTTGAGAAAACTCCATCCCTTATCTTTCCTGACCTCTGCAGGAGGGCAAGCCATTCTTCTCCGGAGTTGATCAATAGGAGCTATTATCTTTGCAGTTTCACTGATGAGTGACTTTTTGGCACCGATTCTGCAAACCATAAGGTTTTGGTATTTAAGCCTGAACAGTGGGAGTGTTATTTGGAGCAAAGGGAAAAAAATAATAAGCCTTGAATCCTTCTCATTGATAAAAGCCTGTGCTCTCCACAAGGATTACTGGTTCATATCAGCAGTTGGCAGGGAGCGACCCCATGTTCACAGGATGCACAAGCTCTTCCAAGAAGCCCCCAGCCACGCCACATCCTGTATCCTGATCCAGTGACAAGTTGAGGTTACACAGGCACGAACCAGCATTCTCATGAGACTAGTGGCCAGCCCAGTGGTCACAAAGGCCAAGTGTGAGGGAACAAGTGGCTATCCCAGGGCCCTTTCTAGCCAGTAACACTGAGTTCTACAATGTGATAGCTGGGTGGGCCTTAGAGGCCAAAGACTTATTTAGCAAGCTATGTATTTTGTTTTTTGCAGGTTTTTTGCTGCTTGCGTGTCACACTTTAATAACCAACCACTCTGGGGCTTCCCCCGGCCCAGAGTTCACAAATTTATAACTTTTTAAAAAGGGTGCACATTTTAATGTGACAATCCATATGTGGGTCCTTCTCTCCTTAGATATAAAACTGAAGTGTCATGCAGTGTTATTTTCAGTATTCTAATTTCTTACGAGTTCAACTAGGTCATGACTCAAGCCTAAGGATTTCTGGAAGTATCCTTACAGGGAACCTTGGAGGATTTGAAGGTACAGAAGGCAAGAGACCCAGGCAATAGCTCCTTCTTCAACAGGAACAATTCCACATTTCTCTGCGTTACATATGCAGGTGTATGGAAAAGGCACCAATGCTTTAAACAAAAGATATTTTAATCCTCTTATCTGATACAACTTCCTCATCTGACAAATGAAGCAAATTAGGCCCACAGCAGTCTAGACACTTGGCCAAAATCACAGTTCTAAGATAGATACAGGCCTTAGAAATGACTTGGGAATAAATGCATGCTTTAATAAAATAAATTTTAAAAACAGAAATAAATGCATCCTGCCTTCTCATTGCTCTCCATCTTCCCTTGACTGTGCCTGTAAGAATGATAAGTCTCCTTAGAAACTGAGTTTAGAGAGATGCACAGGGAATTTCCAAAGAGCCAGCGATGGTCACACAAAAGGGGCGCCCTATCTTCTGTGGTAAAAGGCTTCTGTGTGTGATCATCTGGGGGAAGAAGGCAGGAAGGAGACTTCACAATCTCTGGTGTGAAGTGTCAGCTTACACACAACATTCTTGGCCTTAATCCCTTCCTCCCACCAGCACCTCAGTGGAGGAGCCCACAGCCAGGTGCGCCAGCTTCACCAAAGGTACCTGTTTGGGAAAGCCACAACCTGCTCTCCTTAGAAGGGCAGGCAGGCCACATCCCCCAGCAGCTCCGGGGGTCAGTCAGCCTGCGCCTGGCTCCAGCCCTCAGTTCACAACCATCCCACACCGAGGGGCCCGCACGAGGGGCCACTCCACTCGGGGGACTCAGGGTGTTTACTGAGGAGAGTCAGCGTCTCCCTCACGTGTGGGGTGCGCAGGGGTGGAGACTTACTACACTGAGTGTCTACAATGACCTAATCCTCAGTGACCTTAAATGTGGGTGTCTAATGCAGTCTTCCAAACAAGTTACCAGTACAGTCACAAAGAAAGAAGGCACAATTCCGCAGCCTTAAACTTTTCCAATACCCAACACCACCACCTACACATTTTTAATAAAATTTATAAAGACTTTGTAAATGGTACAATTATGGTTCACGTGGCAGTCATCTGTTGAAGAGAAATTTAAAATATACCGAATTCTGTAGTATTATTCATATTTTTATATAGAGAGAATTGCAAAAACAAAAAAAAAGTTGTCCAGGACAGTTGTACACTGTCCTCTCAGTGTCTGAGAAGCTGACACTCAGAAATCTTCTCAACAATTCCGTAAGGCAGGTACCATCATTAACTTCATTCCAAGATTGGACAGCCTGAGGTAGAGAATCAGGGCACCTGTCTACTCAGCTTGCTGGGGTGGCACAGGAATTGTGGTCAAACCCAGGCAGTCTACAGCAGAGCTACTGTCTCCAATGATGCCAAAATGGGGGGCGGGTAATGCCAAAAGACACAACTGCTTGCTCTCTAGCTTAAACCCCCTTCTGCTCTAGAGGACCCCTGTGAACTCCAAGTTCAGCAGAACTTAGTTTGACAACCAGTACCAGAGGCCATACTCCTCCCCATCAATGCTTGGCTCCCTAATTCTAAAACCCCCCAAGGTGGTGAGAAACACAGAGGGAAGAGAGGAAATACTCTCTGAATCACACTTAAATGTCTTTTTTCCTTTGGAAATATTATTTCCTTCTTTAAATCTGTTGAATTAATACTATGGATCATATGTAGTTCTTGTATTTAAAGGAATTATGTTACACAAAGCACCATAATGGCACACACCTTCTTCAAAATGAATACACATATTTTTGAAAATTACCTTACTTAAAAACTACCATAGTTGGGGTCTCTTGCATGGAACTCTAGAGATTCACTCACTCATTCATCCATTCACTCAAAACAAGTAACACTTTCTAGGTATAAGAACTGGGATATAAAAGCTTGACCTGGTCCATGACATTTTTCAAAAACTTACAGTTTATTGGGAGAGGAGTGCTGTGTGCTAAGTCATTTCAGTCATGTCAGACTCTCCAAGATCCCATGGACTATAGCCTACCAGGCTCCTCTGTCTATGGGATCCTCCAGGCAAGAATACCGGAGTGGGGGCCATTTCCTTCTCCAGGGGATCCTCCCGACCCAGGGATCGAACCTGCACCTCTTACATCTCCTGAACTGGCAGGCAT